ACACACACACACACACACACACACACACACACACACACACACACACACACACACACACACACACACACACAGAGTTCTAACTCCTGTCTCTCAACAGGTTCTGATCTGATCATCCAACTCAGTTTTCAGGTTAGAAACTCAGAGCAGGAAAATCCTGAACCCAAAGACACAGCGCCTACCTGTGTCAGGGGGCGGAGTCTAACACCCAAAACACCTGAAGAAGACAAGAGCTCACCTTCTCTGGCTTGGTGTCCCAGCACTCGGTCATTAACGTGTGCAAGCTGTAGAACTGGACCTGTTCTGGACTGCCCAGTACCGGTCGGATGCCTTTGGAGAGCTTCTTGGGTGTCTGAAGCTGGTGGTTTCCCAGAACCGGCCTTCGTCCCGTCAGCAGCTCGTACATCACCATACCGTAGGAGAACATGTCCACCTGCAGGTCAGGACAGGAAGACCAGGTCCAGACCAGCTGTGGGACTTAAAGTCCTCCAGACTGACCCTCCTGGTTTACTTTGTTTTTATTTTATCTAATTATTGTGTGTTTGCTGTTGTTGTGTCAAACTTTGTCTTCAGCTGCTTTATTTCATTTAATAAAAACTGTAAATATGTGGAGCTGAAGCTTTGGATGAATCTTTCCTTTAATCGCAGCACAGCTTCTTTTATTTTATTTACCTTCTGTTGAGTTCATCTCAAGTAAACTTTGCTCAAACTGTATTAAGTAGGAATTTTACTTCACCATATAAAATAACATTAATAATTATTATAACAACAACAACAACTATAATAATAATAACAATAATAATAATAACAATAATAATAATAAGACAAAAGAGGAATGAGTACTTTCTCATCATAGACGATCCCCGGTCGGACCTCGGGAGCCTGGTAACCCGGGGTCCCCTCAACACCCAGCGCCCCCTCATGGAACGAGTGTCGAGAGATCCCGTAGTCTGACAGTTTGATGTTGACCGGATCCTGGACCTGGACCAGAAGGGATCAACAGAACCGGTCAATATGTCCCTCTGACAAATCCTGAACCGTTATGTACTCAGTGTTTTCACACCAGCTGAGTACCACATGGTTATCACGTGCACGCTCCTCCATGACCAACTCGTGCACGGCTCCAACAAACACCTGAACTTAGTTTAGGATCTGAACAGGACTGAGTTTTAACTTCCTGTTTGCATAAACCACTTCTGAAGGTCCAACCACACTGACCAGAGTCCAGAGTCCAGAGACCAGACCAGGACATACACACCTCCAGAGACCAGACCAGACCAGGACATACACACCTCCAGAGACCAGACCAGACCAGGACATACACACCTCCAGAGACCAGACCAGGATGTTGTCAGATTTGAGGTCACAGAAGATGATGTTCTTCCTGTGGAGGTAGGCCAGACCCACTGCGACCTGATAGGAGATCTTGAAGGTCAGCATGTGGCCGAGGGGCACGTAGCTGCAGCCTGGAGACCACAGAGATTCTCTGAGTTCACAGGAACAGACGTTCAGCCTCAGGACAGACGAATGGACGTACCACTGTCCTTCTGCTTCTCCTCCAGGACGATGTTGAGGCTCCCCAGAGGAGCTAGCTGCAGAGCCAAGCACAGAGGATGGATGCTGATGCCCACCAGAGAGACCACGCAGGGGTGTCTCAGAGAGTGCAACATGCTGGCCTCCTGACGGAACTCGGAGAAGCTTCGGCTGGCGTTGGCAGACTGCAGGTGTTTCACCATGGTGTCTGAGAAAACAAGCTAAACATCAGCTGAGGTCCTTTCCTCTATACAGCCAAACATGTCAGACACAGATTATTATGGGCTGTTTTCTGTTTGTCCTTAATCTGAAGAATCACGTAATTTCAACTAAACACGAACATTCAGGGTCACTCTGGATATATCTTAGAAATAATCCATCTGAAACAATCATTTATACTAAATGACTGTTATAATCTGCTGAAGGACTGCTATAATCTGCTGAAGGACTGTTATAATCTGCTGAAGGACTG